TCTACTTTTTGTTTTCACAGTAATAATCAGGAGTTCATTTAAAGCTCAGAAAGCAACTTAGAATGTAAAAATGGATTAGGAAGACTGAACAGAATAAAAGGCTACCCAACAGGAGTCCCCAAGGTCCCCTTCAATTCCTCTCCAATTACAGCACACTGGCTACACTAATTAATCAATAATTACCCAGCCACTCACTAAGCATCATGTTAAAGTATCAAAAAAAACTGGAGACTTGGGCCAGCATTTCAAAGGAGCACTGCACCCTGGTCACCGGGATTAATACGCAGCATGAAGAATGCAGACAGCTCATTCTTCATGATATCATCCACATTTTGGAGCCCAGCTGTGAACTCCTTGGTCTGGAGGATTTGACATAACTAAGAAGATACAGAAGTTTCTCACAAAGCCAAAGGAAGGAAAGAGAACACAGAGGTGGGGGAGGGTGCATGAAGAAGGGACAGACCAGCACGGGTACACACAAAACTAGTTCACCTACAATTTAAAGTACCTCTATTAGGCTTAGTAAACTTGGGAACTGTTTTTCTGCAATAGCCAGTATGGTCAATGATGCAACTCAATTAGGAAGTCATTCTATAAAGGGTGACTTAGGCCCAAAATCCTGAGAACACTGCTACATGTTCTGAATGTTAAGCCTCTCAACAGGCCTGGAGACCGTAAAAGAAGTCTTCACATGCCTGGAGCCCAACACACTCTTAAGGACCTGCAGGACTGATTCCCTGGTATGCAAATTCTACAGTAGCAGTTCTGCAGAACAGTTTTCAATAAAGAGTAATACAATACTTACCAAGCTGGCAAGTTTTACCAGTCCACTGAGGTGGGCAGATGCACTTAAATTCACCAACTAGATCTTGGCAGGTTCCTCCATGGCCACAGGGATTTGGAGAACAATCATCAATGTCTGCAAAAAGAGGGCAGGGGGAAAGACTTAGCTTAGTTCAGGATATCAAAATGTTGGCAAATACACAGTTGCCAATAAGATCTGTTGAGAGAAGGGTGCAAAAGCGCTAACAGAGCTGTATGAAAGAACCTCACGTATATGAAAGGGGGCAAAGCATCACAATATGAATGGTCATTAAAAGCCAGCACAAACAAAAAAATGTTGCAGAAGGGTTAAAAAGCTTCCTTCCCTCCTAGGTTGTGAGTAGCAAGAGTTAGGGAAGGATAAACATTTATGAGTTTATTGCATACTCCCCCCCACAACAGTACTTACTATCAGTGCAAGTTGGTCCAGCCCAGCCTGGTGAACACATACATTCAAATCCAGTTGAGGTTTCAAGGCAGCTTCCTCCATTGTGACAAGGATCAGAAAGGCAGGCATGTTCCGCTACACCAAAACATACAGCCATGTCAGGTCTGGTAAAGTCCAGGAGTATGAGCAGTCACTGCCAGCAAGACCCACTTGCCACTCCCCCTGCACAGCCCTGCGCTTGGGCCACCAGCACAGCTGCCGCTACATCTCATTCTCATTTAGTAGCTTTTGGTTTCACACAGTATGAAACTGGCAGGGAAAGTCATCTTTCATGCTAAGCTGACCTGATCAACATACCATGGACTTTTCTGTCTGAGTGGGAGCCAAGTTAGAGCTCACACCAACTGCAGCGAGATTGCTAGAGAAGTCATTAAGAGTCATCAGGAGTTTGATTTAGCAGATATCAGTCACTGGGCACGGAGTGAGTGAGCTTAGACCTTATCAGCCAGCCTTTAACAGCCACCACCTTAGTAATATTACAAATCCAAACTTCCTAGGCGAGGCAGAATGAGACCAAGATAGCTACCCAGAGCTGACAGAAAGCTAATTGGTAGCAATCAGCCCTTGAGAATCAGGGCACTTACCAATTTCGCAGTTCTGTCCCGAGTAACCCTCAGGGCAGGAACACTGATATTTGTCAGGCCCCGTGTTGCTGCAGGTACCACCATTCAAACAAGGCAGGCGAGTTCCACAGTAGTTAAGATCTGTACACAAGGAGCAGAATGGTAAGAGCTGAACAGAAAGGGTTTTGTTCAGTTACTCTAAATCCTTTCACAGAATGTGCCTTGTGCACAACGGCAGGCCAAGACAGAGCAAAGTGAAGCCTGTATGCTAACAACCGGTGCACGGCTGGCGGGGGGAGAGGCTAGAAAACCCAGCCAAAGGACAAAAACCCCGCCACGTTCTGGATGCTCTCTCTCAATGCTAGCTGCCAGCATTAAAATTCAAGTTTTACCCTTGGCTATCTGCAAGATTAGCATACCTTTGTCACAGAGCTGACCACCCCAGTTGGTTTCACAGAGGCATTGCCATGGTTCATTGCAGGTGCCATGGACACATCCTGGGTGTGGAATGCACTTATCGCAGTACTGGCCTTGCCATCCATACTGACACCTTAATAATAAAAAAAAAAAAGAGAGCATGGAAACAAAAACTTTGAATTACTTTTGAAGACAAAAAGTAACTGCAGAACTCCCAAGGTTAAGTAAGATTTTTTGGGGGGGGGGAGGGGGAGGGTGGAAAGCCATTCAAGGTTTGTTTGAGGGTTTCTTGTAAACAAACATCTTAGCGGTTTCGCCAAGGTCTCTGAAGCCAGCCTCCTCACAAAAGAATAACTGTTCTGAGAGAACCAGCGTGGGACCATTCAACACAATGCTACTCTATTCTGAAGCTCACACAAATGTGGCCGAGAGGGTGGGTGTATACTACAAATCAATCTCTGGATTTTGACAGAATGGATTATAAATTGGAAAAAAAAAAGGCAATGGGAACAATGGTTATCTAGCCCTCCCTCAGGACTGCAATGTCCCAGGCATTTTAGCCATAGTGTGTGCACAGGAAGAGAAACCAAACACAGCCATAAACACTACCTCCCAGCATTGTAGGAGACAGCAATAGAGCCGACTTATCCTAGTGTTATCGGAAATTACCCCCTTGTGCTGGATTGTGGTAGAAGCCTTCTGATACAAAATTATGAGACCACATATGATAAAGGGATTTCTTTAAAAACAAAGAACAAATACTAGATTTGCAGGGTGTCTGTGTGTTTGCGTAGGGGTTGGTTGTTTTGGTTTAGTTTTTTTTTGGGGGGGGGGGGGGGGGGGGGAGGAGCAGGATGGGGAGGAGAAGAAGGTTTTTTTTTTAAAAAAAAAGCCACTCTCCATCCAAATGTTATCTACCATATGGAGTATGGTTTTTAAGTTATGAAATATTGCTAATCTTCAACTAACTACAGCTATTATTCTGAGATTTTAACATAGTGGGGAAAAACAGCTTAAACCATGCAAAGTCAAGCATGAAACTTAACACATTACAGCCCCCTCAAACTGGAGCCTAATTTTGGACTTGTTTCTCTCAAGCAAAATGAAACAGGGATTTTACATACGAATTAAAAAAAAAAACAAAAACCATGCACATACGCTAGGGAAGAGAGAGGGGTGTAGCTGAAGTCATAGGTTTACTAAAGTACTGTATTTCATTAATAGAGTCTGGCAGTAAGTGATCAGCAGTAATAAGTCACTGAGCCATTACTAAATTATGAAAATAAACTTCTGCGCAGAAGGCAGTTAGGCTTTCTTTTCAAAAAGCTGTTCTCTGCCCAGTAAGTCCTTCTCATGGGAAACGTTACAGGGCTCTACCCAATGGCTAATCACCCAAGGCTAATAGTAAGTTTAACTTCCCTACTAAAACTCTCAGATGCCCAGCTACCTCCTAATTAAAGATTTTTTTTTAAATAGATGCATCAATATCAGCCTGTTCAAAGCTCAGGTGAAACAACTGAAGTTGTGTGTATGAAAAACAAAGTTAGTCTAAACTTAGTTTCTTTGTAACCCAAGCTAAAAACAGAACAGGGTGGTGGGACAGGGAAAGACCACCTTTTCTGAAGTATCTCACTGAACATCTTCCGATATAGAGAAAAGGAGAAGAAGCTAATAAAACGTCAAATTTGGGACCATTCATGTTATACCAGTGCATGGTATAACACGAAAACTTGCAAGGATGCACTAATCTTTATAGAGGAGGCCACGGATTTTCCCAAATGCCTGGGCCCTTTGCAGCCTCCATTCCTGCCATATTAAGGAGGCAAAGCACTTTAAAACCTTTCCTCTTGCTTCAGTGAAACAAAATGCAGTAACAGTGAACTTTGTAGAGCGAGCATATATATTTCTTTTTAATTAATGCTTGCACTTTGGGACTGATCTAAGAAAACTAGACAAGGGCTATGGATATATTTAAAAAAAGGGGGGAGGAAAGAGTTAAAAGTTCCAGAATCCTGGAATTTGTTCTCATTTAATAATATGTATGAAGCAGTTTCTCATGAGAAATTTGAAGTTTCTTTGCTTATATAATGATTCATGAGTAGATTTGGTTTTGTTGGCAGGCTCATGTTGAAGAAAGTTACTCGCACCAAAAAGAAAAGGGATATTTTAAGTACGTTTGCAAGTTGTCTATTGCACCAGGACCTAGAGCAGTTTCTGCTGGGATGTTATTTTTAAACTCAAGTTGCATTTGTAACATACAGATGACATGACTCATCAAAACTTAAGAGAATATAAAAATCTCATTTCTGCGTTTGCTTTAAAGATATGGGACTCATTTGGCAAGCCAAAAGGATCTGAAAGCACCAGAAGGGCAGTGTTGTTTTAAAACTATGCAAATCAAGTGTGGGAAAGTTGCACCTTGAGTAAATAAGAGCACTAGTGCATGTCTGGGCAGTAAGTGGGAGGTGAGAGACTTAGAAAGAGAAAGGCCTAAAAACAATTCAGGAAACAAAGCCTGTTGTTCAGACTAGAGACAGCAACCCTACAAGGCATGTTTATTCTGAAGACAGTAGCACAAATCACTGCTAGCCTCAGCTGATAATACTTCTTGCGCCATCTGGCCCACACTACTTGCAGCGTGTTCTTTAATTAAAAAAATAAATAAATAATATATCAAGAATGGGTATTTTATTTAGGCTGTATAAGCTAAATGTATTTATTTTATTTAACCCCAGTTACATCCATGCACTTAAACATCAGAACCAAATTGAGGGATTTTTTTTGTTGCTTCACACCTGCTTCTCACAAAACAAAGCCACATGCATTTAATTTTTTTAGTTGTGCTGTCAGCACTTTCCCTTAGGAATGCATTTTTATGGATTCCCAAGGGAAAGAAGGGACTGCTGGAATCATCTTGTTTCACCTAGGAAGGCATAACACAGGCCACAGGACTCGCATGAACCAATACCCATCACCCAGAGCTTCTTTTTCAGGAGATGCATCTAGCTTTTAGTTAGACCCTTTCTCCAAAGGAAGATGCAAACTGACCCCTGCTAAGATGCAAATGGCTTTCTGTTCTTGAAACCCCATCCGTATTTTACCTCAAGAACACCACTAACTTCACTCTGTAAAACATGAAAAACCTTATACTGACCGACTCATATGCCTTCCTACATATTCTCCCTTACTCCCATGCTAAGTGATCACCATGAAGAGTTAAAAACTTTTAATAGCTTGCCTATAAAAAGTGTTCAAATTCTATACCCAATAATAACCCTGTATTGATCAGGGAGAAAGCCCTCCCCATATTGTAAATCTACAGCATGTAATTTGAGACGTTCCAAAAATTTAAAATTGTTACATTGTTGTTGTGGCTAAACTCTGCTTTTCATTGTCTCCTGGCCAGAACTGAAGAGACTTCAAAGCAGCAGCAACAAAATTCGGCATTCATCAGTATCTACTGACAAGATTTCATCCCAGCTATTAACCTCTCAGCACTCAAAGCCTGGCTCACAACAGCAAAGGAACCAAGAGATTTTACTAATCCCATTCTAAAGAATGCTTGACTTTTGCCTATTGATGGAAGGAGTTTGGGAGGGGAATTAAAGAGGGGAAGAGGAGCAATAGGCCATTGAGTTAGAACTTCTAGCAGAAAAGCCCGTAACCACCCTTTTTTGTTATTTGGCTTTTTTTTCTTTTTTTTCTTTTTTTTTTTCTTAAAGCAAATGAAATTGGAACCATTTATACAGAAGCAATTAGTCACTACTTGTGGAAGCAATTTACCACTGTTTGTCCATTTATAAGCAGCGTCACTGCAAAAATGAAAAAAAAAACCCCAAAACTTAAGCTATCCATTTATCTGAAAAAACAAAAAAACAAACAAATAAAAGAAAACAAAACACCGCTTTTCTTTTGGTGCAACCAAGTATGCATAATAGGCCCTTGCAAAATCTGGAAGTCTTACTCTCCCCTCTGACCCCCACCATCATCACATTTTGTGTAGCATCATTTATTCAGTTACTTAGCAGAAACATTTTGTTTACCTGCACTCTCCTGGTATTTTGCAAGAACCGTGTTTTGGGCTACAACCCTGACGGCAAATAGCTGTAAAAAGAGTTATACAGAAAAGGAAAGTATCAGCATGCTGTTCATTTCCTGCATTCTCACACTCGTGGGAATGCTTTAATCTCCAACTAGCATTGTAACCCTACCAAATCCATGATTTAACAGGTCTCTCGTATCAAATCTATTGGAAAGAAGCTGAGGTAGGTGGTGCCTTATGACAGCAAATCCACCAAGTCCACTAATACAGCTAGCTATAAAGAGATCCCACATAATGCCATTTTAAAGAATGCCTCAGAGGCAAGAGAAGCCATTTCACTTCATAAAGCTAAAACCCCCCGCGCTTCTGCGCTCAAGGGTGAAATAACCCCACCCTTGCACACCCACATGAGTGTTAGACTAGCGAGTTGAAACAGCGTATTTTCCCCTTCATGTACACACATGTACACAGCATGCTGGGCATCAAGATTTAAAAGTACTTGGGTGTTTTGTCAACAAGACAAGTCAATGTTTAGTTCCTCCAGTTGATATGTTTCTCCCATGATGATAATGCTGGTCTAAGGCTGATAACGTCAGCTCACATAAAGAAGAAACAGGCTGAAATTTGCTGCAGCCCTTCTAGTGCAGCTCCTCTCTTTACACTTCCTTTGCACCTCCAAAAAGGAAGTCTTCACTTAAGTTAAGGGGGTACCATGTTTCTAGGTGTATTTACATAGGTAATCACTGCAGGAGGTGACAGTGCAGATTATATTCAGGCCCCTTCTGTTCTATGCTTCAAGGTGGGGCTTATAAAATAAAATCTGCCCAAATTTTCAAAAAGTAATTCAGGTACTTTGGAAAAGTTTGTTTAATGAATGCAAGGCTCCATACAGTAAATCCTGCTATTGGTGCACTAGGTACATGGGCAGCAGCACAGTAATCAACCAATCTAGTTTAACAAGAGTAGCATGGAATAACCCAATCCTCCCCACTACCTCACTTTAAAAAGTCATCTCTTTGTCCAGTCAATCCTTGACTCCTCTTCCAAGGTTAGGCAAGGCACCAGGTTAGGGACTGCAGTGACACAGACACTTCCCCTACAGGAATTATTTTTCTATGGCTCAGAATCAGCCCAATCTAGAGGTGAAGTATTTCATATGCTTCTACCAATACTCCAGGCTATACAAAGCTATTAAAATCAAACAAATAAATCACACACACTTCAAATATTAAGTTACAAACCTTTGTTGCATTCCGGTCCCATCCAGCCTTCCAAGCAAGTTTTGTTGCCATTCTGATCGCACGTATGGTGTCCGAAGAAGTCATCCCTGGGGCGACAAAACTTGTTGCAGCCAAAGCCGTAGTAGTGCTCATCACAAATCACACGGATCTGGTACTCAAAATGGGCGACACCTGCGTTCTGTTTCAAAGCCTGCCACTGACGACTTGGATTGATCATGCCAGAATGGGATGCCTTTTCAATAATGCTATCAGGATCTACAAGTCAGAAATGAAGGTACAATTAACACTTTTGCTTAGGGGTTGGTCCCCTGTGCTGACACTCCGTTTGGCATACAGGCTTTTTTAAACAAAGTACCGCAGCAAACTGACTATTTAACTTCACGGCTTTAGCCGAAAGATGGATTCTGAAACACTTTTAGTAACTGAAATGCATATGCTGTATTCTGAACCAGAGCTTGACTGAATGGAAACAAATCCTTGAACTGCTCAGTCCTGACTTCAAGTAAGTCCCACACATCCAACAACTAAAGGGGGGCAACAAGGTTGGGACAGGGTAGGAATTAAGAGACACATCTTCATGCCTTCAGTAAGTATGGGAACCTCAAGTTTGATACATCATGCATCTTGCTCTGCTTGATGAGTTATTAGTAATATGTCGCCTATTTTTGGTAGTAATGAAAATCTCAGGCAATCAGCCTGCAGAAGCCTAATAAGACAACTTTTACAAACTGGATATTAAGGGCCTGCAGGCTCCTAGAAATTAGGTGATAAACCCAAATTGGGGAAAACATACCTCCATTCTAGCAGAGGAACTAGTGATTTTGGCATTCAGTTGACATAAATGATCTCACTCGATTTGGGAAATACTGTACAAGTTATCCCTTTAGATGGTAGGCCTGGATCTTTAGTGTCACCTAAGAGAGATGCCTTTCTTAGCAGAGTCAAATTACTTTGCGTGCACCACAGATTTCCCTTCTCTCCTTTAAAAGTATTTCACAACAAAGGGTTTACATTTTGTATGAGACATCTCATTCCAGCAACATTTTCTGGCTTTTGGAAACCTACAACTGTCTAAATTATAGCTTGAAATAATAATAATATTTCACATTTGCTCAGAACATTGTATATATCTGTGGTATTTCACTTTGTAGTCCAGGTCTTGTGACCTAAATGATCTGACACTGCCTTACGACCTGCTGCTAGCAAGCACTTGACTGCAGAGTGAAAGTTTATCATAAAACAGCCAAAATATCCTTGCAGACCTAGAGCAAAAACAAAAATAAGTACCAGGCTAGTCTGTTCTCTGTGTGAAAGCATGAGCCAGAGACAGAAAAATTTGAGGTAGAAGGGCACCTTGCCAGTAATGTGTTAGAAGGTTCTGTGTGAAATATTAGCACATTTAAGTATTAAGAAGTAAAATGCATCAAGTAGTTTATTCATTCTTTCAACATTAAAAAAAAAGCTTAGGATTTTACATAAGGCAGACACTAAGTGCAATAAAACTGCTTCACAAAGCTGATGAAGATGCATGGGCAGTTCTCGTCTAAAGAACTTTAGAAATGTTCATTACAGCCATTGATTTTTCAGTTTTCAAAAGAAACCCCCAAGCTAACAGTTCTTCAAGACTATGTAAAACTTACAATTTCATCCCTAAGTCACACCTATCCTACTTGTACCTCTAGGAAATACTTTAATGTACTTGGCTGCCCTGACACTACCACAGAAGTGCATCCATCTCTTATTTCCCTTTTTTTTAAGCCACCCTGGTACTCTTGAATCAGAGTGCAGCATCCATTCCATTTTTACAGTTTAGGAGTTGAGGTCACCAACTTCTTGTGTAGTTTGTGGTTTCTCCAGTTTAACAGTGTTTTCTTTCCAACTCAGCTCTCACTTGTACTCTGATCCTCACCCCATGCCTGTATGTGATGGAGGAGAAGATTCTCAGATACTTTCAGTCCTGCGAGTCACTTAAGTCTCTTTTGCCACAAGTAATTTAGATACCTAAAGACTTTTCAATATTGATATAAATCGCAGCAGTACAGTGCCTGCATGTGAATGTGCACTTCTACTGTGTACATATAAGGTTCCTATACCCCAGGGATGGACAAAATACACCCCATGGGCCACATTTGGCCCACCAGGCAATTACATCCAGCCCGTGGGGCCCCTCTGCAAGCCCTGGCCTTGGGCTGCTCCTCTGCAAGCCAGTGCATCCCTGCAGGAGGTGTTGTTTTGGCTAAGCAACCACCCTCCCACCCTAGCTTGGCCTGACCCACCCCCAGCCCTGAGCTGGTGGGGGGGCACTAGAGACAAGAAGCCACTGCCTGGGAGAGGCTTTTGCTGGTGACTCTGTGGCTGTTTTGAGCCTCCCTGCCTGCCTGTAAGTGGGGCCCCCTACCATACCCCCCATCCTAACCCCTCCATACCCACACTGCACACCACCCCACCCATACACCCACTCCCCAACCACACGCCCCCTTCCCCCTACATACAATATAGAAAAGTAAGACTGTATTTTGAGCTATTATGCAATTGCATCTAGATATACTATGCAAACACATGGATCAGGACAAAATTTTTTCTTTTTTTCTTTTTAATAAAATGAAAGTAAGTTATAGTAGATGTTTGATTTTATTTTACTTTTTGGTATATGATTTGTTTTTTGGTTTTTTTCTAGTTTCAAGATGGCAGAACCCTCCCACCCAAAAGAAGTACTTCCAAGACAAGGGGAGAGACTTCCAGTGGCAAAAGTTAGGGGTTAAAGGTGGGACTTCTGCTCCCAAAGTGGTAACCAGGGGGTGGGGCACCCACCAAGGGGCAGGGCTACCCTTGCAGCCCTCGACAGCTCACCAAAACGCGCTAAGTGGCCCTCTAGCCAATATAATTGCCTGCTTCTGTTATACCCAGTGATATTATTCCTGTTAGATTAGAGACTAATACAGGAGAAATGCTGAAGCCTGTGCCTATCCATTCGTCTTCAGTGGGACTCGCTGATTGATTCGCGTTACACTTATGCTTAAATATCTTGCCAAAGTTGGCTTTCCCATTGGGACCTTGCCAAAATGGCACCTAGCGTCTGTGGCACAGCTGGCATCTACACAAAGATTTCCCTTAATCCACTGTCTTCACCATATTTTACCATTAGGAATAACTATGGATGCTTTGCCCAAATTACATAGGGACAATGGATCTGCTTTGCTTTTGAGGGAAAGCCTTTTACCCAGTGTTCTCAGTGTTACTTCACCTCCTCACAACAGTTCACTCTTTGGTAACTGAAAGCAGGCTGCAACTTCTTTTCTTGCCTCCACACTGACATCCCTCCTCCTCCTCTCAGCAGATCTAGGGATGTCTATTTGTTACAAAGAGGGTTAGGCCACATTTCACTCAAGTTGGCTAGTCCTTTGTGTACACAGCCAGCCAAATTCTGCAGAAACACTCCCATTAATTCTCAGGCTCTGCCTGAAGTAAGAGTAGACTGGTGGGATATTATTTTGCTTCTGATGGGGTGAGAGATGATCACTAAGCATCTCTTCCTGTGATATGGATCAGAATAGTTCAGCTGTGCACACAATTTCTGACACCGCTCATGCAGGCTTCTATAACCCTGGTCAGTACTTGGCACCAGCCATCACCAACAGAGGAAAAAAATACTCTTATAACCAACTATGACACTGCAGGCCAAACTTTTTAGCAAGTCTGCCCTAAATTAGTCCCACATCTTCCCCAAGAGCCACTCTGATCCATTGCCTAATCTGCTGCTCTGCTCTCTGATCTGCCATGTGCCACACAGAGGCTGCCCATGCCACTTGTGATACACATGCTGCAGGCTGGCCAACCCTGAACTATGGCAAGTTTTTTCTTTCTAGTTTTTCTTCACTCTCCCTCAGTACCACCTGCCAGTGTACACTACCAGAGGCGTACTGCTCCAGGCTTCAGGAAGAACTCCCAGAAGCCTTCTACTACTCCATCCCAAAGAGATTTTAAAGGGTACTGAGAAGCAGCAGGCAGCAAAAGAAATAAGAATGAAAATCAGCCAGCCTCAAGGGAAAGCGACCGTCATAGCTCCCTCAGCATCATCCATCCTTTGATAAAATGGTTAGAGGAAACATTACTCAATTTAAAATTGATGTAGTGGAAGAAAGAAACTTCTGGTATCTTTTTAATTTGTACCATGCACTTAGCGTCAGAACTGGCTGGTTTCAAGCCCACTTCGTAGGTCACCTGCCGTTCTTAAATGCTTCATCTCAATTTGTCAGTACAAGCATAAGACAAGAATTTCCAGGGTAGTTCAGAAGTGACTAGCCATTTTGACTACAGGCTGGCATTTCAGCTAGTACAGCCTCAGGGGAAAAAAAAAAGGAAATCAAGGTACGTTAACGTGCTTTTGGCCACCCAAACTGATTTGTTATGTTTGAAGTCTTTGCCTCAGAATGTCTCCCAGTTATGGTTTAGTTTACCTTAGGCTAAAACCTCTTATGCTTTGCTGGAATTCACGTGCAACTGATACTAGTAATTTACAATAGCTCTTTGACATGCTGCAAGATGCATAAAATTAACAGAGCTGACATAGCATAAAAGTAACAGCAGAAAGATGGAATCTAAATACAGACATGAAGACAATCTGATGGGTTAAGTCATGGCCCTTTGATTTCAATGGGGCCAGGATTCACCATGAGCACTACCCGGGAGAAAGACCATTTTGAGCTTATGGTGGCTAGGACAGAAAGAAGGGAAGCAGAAGCAGGAGGCGGATGCAGTCTAGATTCTTAGCGATAATATTTCACTAGGAAGCTCAACATATGCCACCAAAACAGAGAACCTATTAGAGGGATAGCCTTCTTTCAGAGCCCTTGCAGAGGGAAGTTATGGAATTCAATAAGGATTAAAGCATTAGGGTTCCATAGGAAGTTCTGTAGAAACTTACCAAACCATCATTTTATTCATTGGCAATTGTATATAGGTTTTAAAAAGTTCTCTAGAAAACCTTATTCTCAGTGGCACTTCAAAAAAAAAAAAAAAAGTGCGCTGTCCATTAAGCACAGGCAAATTCCTTCTAAGCAAGGTGGTGATGCACAAGAAAAAAGGTTGGGTTTACGCAGTACAGCTACTTTGGCAAAGCTACTGGGAGAATTTAATCAGCAACACAGGCAAGACTAAGCCTGCCCTTGGTCAAACATGCTATTGGAAAAAAAAACAAAAAACCATGAGAATTTTGTCCGAAGACAATTGTGCTTCCAGAACACTGGAGCAAAGAAAGGATTCATTGTGTAGCTTTGGAAAGTCAGTTTCATGAAAATACATGAGACCTAATAATAGAAAAAATGGCAGAGACCCAGACTGAGGGGAAAAAAAAAAAAGCAGTATCCTACTGTAAACAAGACCTTCATTTTGAATGCAGAGACATCTTCCACTTATAATTTGACACTGCCAGTGTAGCAAGCCCTATGGATATATTTCCCCTTACCCTCACATAGTGTGTGTAACTAAGGCCCAAAGAATTTCCTGATTAATGGTTCTGGGATGCTGTTGTCTCTGCATGCTCCTCTCTCAGTGGTAGCTAGAGCAGACCAGAAGGCAATACCTGGTGTCATTTACTAACACCTTTCATTAAGTTACTATTCTATGCAAACTTTGCAGCATCTGGAATGAATGAATCCTCTTATATGAAAAGGAACTGCATATATGGGATTGCTATGCCCAAGAACAGCTCCAATGGGGTCTGTCTGAGCACAGGGATCTGTGCTCCGCCTTCCACACAGTCTGGAAATCATGAGTCCCATGCTGCTGTTGATAACCCAAGTAGTTCCCATTTTCAAAATAACTGGGATTATAACAACTACATACAGATAGGTTGGGTTTGTTTTGGGGGGGTGGTGTGGAAAGCAGGGGGAAGCTGGAGAGAGTTGGGAAGACAACTCATTATTTTCTTCAAAAACAAAATCTGGGAACATCATAGGTCACCCAATTCCTAGACTGAAGCAACACTGGGATCTAATGGATTCTGATGCCATGGGAAGGTGAACCCCTATATATGCACAAACCAAAATCCTGAGCTTTGTGGAAGCCTCATGCTCTGCCCATTAATATTTAAATACTATTTCAGAATACATGCACAGTTATACAGCAGCCCATTAATAGCACAGCTCACAAGTTGCAAGGATTTTATTACTTCCTGTGGCTAACAGGAAAGTTTCTGAAACTGACCACATGAAGCCATTCCAGGGAAAGATATCTGCCCCAGTTTTCAGCCAGCTTCGTCATGTGGCACCTGGCAAATATTTTCCAATCTCCAGCTATAAATCCTTAGATTTAAATCCTCCACCCCAAGGAAAAAACAAAACACTGATCAGTTTTGTTTTTCATCCCAAGTCATCAAAATAACTTTCACATTTAGTCTCATTTGGCTTTTATAAGCTGTGTGGGTTTTTCAGCTCTGAAATAAAGTTCTGTAAAGCATCTAAATCATTTAAGTCCCACTGCAAGTCAAAAGGATTTAAGCTCCCAAGTACCATTTGAAAATCTGACTTGGGTGCTTATAAGAAAAAAAAGTTACCTATCATCTCCATTTGATAATTCACACTCAACTCCTCACCTAAAAATGGAGGACATGTAAGAACACACAGTATCCCAGGCCCAAATCCCATCACCCACTCTGCATAGGCAAACTGCACATGTGCAGATGGTATGACATTTTCCCATATTCAGCAGAGAACGTGTAGGTTCTTGTCAGCAGAAGTTGTATCGTGACTGGGAAATGGAAGTGCCACAAATTAGCTGCCCTCTTAACATAAAGGTCTTTCAGTAGGTAGTCATCTGAGGAGTTTCAATGGAGTAAAGCAAAAAAATACTTACTAGCAGAGTCATTGCTGTAGTCCCATGCCTCCACAAGTAATGTATAGGATCTCTGTGAAAACAGAAATACATTTGTTAATATTGCAAACAGAGACAGCCTTTAAAAAAACGTAGTTTGTACATGTGTATACATACACACTTTATATATTTTATCTATCTGTACAGCTGTAACAGGCCATTTTCATTTATTTAGATGCAGATGTTCCATCTCTCCCACTCTGGAGCTTGCCCATTTAGGACATAAAATAAGCAACAGATTATACTTGAGACAAATGCAATCCTCTAACCCCTTAAATCAGACTGGATAAAGTAGCTTAAGAGACCTTTCACCTTGGATTGCTCATCTTTGTCAACACTAATGCATCTTATGTTCTTAACCAGGAAGTACAGCTTTTGACAGTGTGCTATAGCAAGAACTGAACACGTTTGGCAAAGATATATCATGGCAGGGGGGGAGGAGGGCGGGAAAAAAAAATCAGCTGCTTCAAAAGAATTTTAGTTACAAAAAGCCCTCTCTTTTTCTTCCAAACCCAGACAGTTTTTTCCATCCTGAAAGCAAGGAGTGTTGCTAAGATTACCCTGCTCAGGCCAAGCAGTGCAATCTCTGGAGACGTTGCCTTTCAGCACCCCCTTTGAAAGCTTTGTCTGCGCTAGGCCATCACTGCTCCCACAAGTATCAGGTAACTAAGGAAAGAACTGATGAATCTGGGAAGGGGGTGGGGTGAGAGAGGCAGTGTAAAACAAAGCCAAGGAGCAAGCTCTTTAGAGGAGCACAGAACAGGAAGAAGTGCTAGTCACCTATGTGTCACAGGTACAGACAGACTGAATATGCCAATGTGTTTTCTACCATTCCAGTAATAATCATAAACATTCAAAGGGATCCCTTCAGGCTGGAAAAATGCCAGCTATTACATTCAAGCTACCTCAGTCTTCAAGAACAAAGCCATAAGGCATTCCCTGCCTTTATTTTGCTATGCTCTAGTTTGATCCTTCATTTTCCAATACTGTCATGGTCCCAAAACAGGCTTATAAACCACATTCTCAAAAAAAAAAAGAGGGAGTCAGAAGAATCAAGCATTCAGCAAGAAACCAAGACAGTGGTGGTCAATTGTTTGCTTCTAATGTGAATGCAACTCCCTCCACCCCAGTAAGGAAGGGGGAGGGGGAGAAAGAAAAAAAAAAAAAAGCATGCACAAATTAGGTCTGTGCATGAGAAGTTACACATCACATGGCTTATTTTCTTTACTTCCCATCACGTTGCCAACACTAAGTAGAGATTCATTTGCAGCCACTGCAGACAGCAATTATTAAATAGTGTGCTACCAGAAATGAACTGCATTAAAGTAGTAAACAGCTGCAAGGTGCAAGTCTCAGACAGGACTTCAAACCCACTTAAAAAAAAGAAAAAGAAAAAAAGGTCTTCTTTGCTTTCTTATTTCTCATGACTGGACACAGCATGCAGCCTCTGAATGAAAACCTAATTTGTGATAGACACCAGCTTGGACTATAGCCTAAATGTTTCATATTCAAAGCAAACTAGGATTCCATTTCGTTCACTGATAACTGTGGGAAAAGGCTTCAAAAGTAAGCAAAGCTGGGCAAGCCGAGACATGTGCCCAACCTTCTAAGCAGAACCTAGATCAGCCCAAACCATTTTTGGTTAATAGTTCATCAATAAAAGTTACACATTATTTGTTACTATTCCAGAACCAGTCTGGTAACTTGGAGGAAACCCCTAAGACTGATTGGATTAGAGCTGCCAAACAGCTTTAAAAAAAGGTTTTCCCATGCAAGTCCTGAGCCCTATTGAAATACACGTTTCACTTCATTTGTGGTACTGCTACCCAGTCACCATCCCTGCTCAGTTTAATTACAACATTGAGAATGAAGACGTGTTACTGCAAGCTTAGAGGGAAAAAGAAACTTAGGGTGATGCAGAAAATTAATTATAGCAGCCCACACAACTTCCAATAAAGTGAAGGATGTTTTCCTGTTTGCCTTGCATAATTGTTTTGGAAGATATTTTGTCAAAATTCATAGCAACAGTTCCTGCTCAGTTCTCAGGGTTGTTTACCAACACACCTCCACCCTGGAGGAAAGGAAAGACAGAACTGTGGCTTTGAGTGCCGCTGTTGCCACATACCTATGACCACTTTCCAAAAATACATGGGGCTTCATTATTAAATAAATAAATAAAAATGAAAGCAAACACTTTTACTAATGGGATGGGGGGAGGAAAGTGGGGAGGGTTGGAGAACTTACCCTAGCAAAAGATTTTCAAAAATATTTCCCCGCCCCCTCACAACAAAAATATTTGTAGCAGAACATAAGCTACTGAATAGGAACAAAGTAAGCAGTGGCATGGATGTTAGACTTTTTTTTTTTTCCAAATAATTTTCATAAAAAGTGGCTTAGTAACATCTTTATTGACACAGTCGGACTTATTGCATTCATTTGGCCATGCCAGAAAAAGAAAGCAATTGTCCGCATAGACCACTTTGTTGAGATGTTAGAGCATTTTAAAAGGTGCACGTCATCCCCACTCTATAGATTAACAATTAAGATATCTCAGGAATGAATACTTAGAGCATGGAGGTTTAATTTTTCCCATGCCCAAAGCTGACCTCTGCCCATCTTCGAATAAATATACATCCAGACACAAGAATTCCACATCATGCACCTTCTTCCATCAAAGGAAGGTACCAGGCAACAAATCAGCAGCAAGCTATGACAGAGTCACACCCAATTAGCCACTGTAAATCTGATCTTGACCAGAAGGCAAAGATTCCAACAGAAGACCAAAGCCAACTTAACAAGAACTTCAAGCCACTGGCTGGCAGAATATTCACACTTTCACGGTTTATTCAGTGCAGAGAACACATTATAAATACACCATCACCACACTTGAACCAGGGGTTACAGAAGCTATGAGAAGATTAAAATAGTTGGGCTTATGCTCAAGGAGCATGACAAACACCAGCTTCACTTTTTTTTTTTTTTGGTGGAGGTTGATTGTATACTGAAGGGAAATCAAAGAGAGTTGGGAATCATACTTAAGAACCATCTACTAAGTTTAAAAGCCTTTGATATTTATTCCTGATCTACACACAACGCCAACAAGACCTCTGCAGACCCTAAAACTCAATCGTCAATAGTCCCCAATTGGGATTCGACAGGGCATTGCCACCTCTTTCCCAGATTAATTGTGTGGACACAACTTTGAATATATTTCACAGAGCAGATGCATATTTCAGAAGGACTTAAAAAAAAATATAGACAGCCTCTGGAAGAAATAGTTGCCAAGAATCAAAAATGATTATCCAATTTCAGGCACCCTTTTTGATATGTCAGGAGAGGACTAGGAATACAGCAACACAGTTCTTCAGGACTTCCGACAGACAAGGGAGAAGGATAAGTTTCTCCCCTCACATTTCCAGAAGCCGTAAGTCCTTCTGAAACCTTCTTTACTTCTCCTCTCCTTCCTTTTCCCCTCCCCACTACACAGAAGAGCACTTCAATGAGACATAGCAGCAGTACAATTTGTAGAGGTACCCCTTCTTCTTCCAGTTGTGGCCAATCAAACTTTTGTCTTCTTCTGCCCAAGACGTTTAACCATGCAAGGTATTTTGCAAAACATACAGAGCATTGCTTTGCCAAGTGCAATGGGAAGTCCACATGATTGTGCAAGCTTCTCTTCTGTCAAACAGGGTAATCAGGTTAAGCATGGTGATGCTCAACCTGTGCCTTGACAGACACATGCAACTCCCTAGGAGACTAAAGGACTCGGAGCTACCCTCTTGCTCTCCCTGAGACTCAGGCAGATTGCCAGTCTCCTAACACTGACAAAGGCTGTGGAAGAGTGCTGAGCAAATGGGTGTGGTAAGGAAAAGGGAAAATGAGGAGCAATTCAAAGTACCCAAGAGGCAGGGAGGGGGGCAGTGCTGAATAGGTTTTCAGCTAGTCACAAAACCACTTCCGCAGAACCGTCCACAAGGTTCTCCTTAGGCACCACCTGACAGCAAGTCAAGATGACACCACACAGACATGCCAGATCACGCCGGTTCTTGTTGTCCAACTCCATTTTTGACAAGCAGCTGTCCGAGGCTGAAGATTACTGGTTTTGCCAGCCAATGAAATGCAGGCATTTTTCGCAAGAGAAAGAAGGTGGGGGGGGAGGGGGAAAGAGAGAGCGAGAGAGAGAGACTGACTTGTGTTGAGTGCAACAAAGCTTGCATCTTTTGGGGCCACCTAATATAAACCATAACTATCAGTTTTACTCTGAGGACCTAAGCTGGCCTGGCATGCAGTTCTGGTTTTATTAATGTAAGCAGTGACCTTGCCTCCCAATGTTCAAGGCCTTTGGGAACTTCAGAAGTTGTTTGACTCCACATGCTGTGCAGTATATTGGAGGCCCAGTCAAAATATGGCTGTACAATAATGGGCTCATATGAAAAGGCAACAGAGCATTCTTTTACCTTTCATAGTGTGAAGCAAATTGCTCTTTCTTGGCTCTACTGATGGTGGTAAACACTTCATTGCCACATTAGTGATGGGACATCACACACACACACACACACACACACACACAAAAGCAGCTCCCAGGAGCTTTTTCCTCTTGAAAGCAGAAGCCAAACCAGTAATTGAAGTCAAGAACTTCTCTGTGATACAGCTGTCCCCTCTTGCCAAATGATGAAGGACACAAAAGTACCGCTATCCAAACTATGTGTGTGCTACATCCAATAAACCAGGCTGATCTCTGATCTGGCAAGCCTACTGGAATAATGAGTATCCTGTGAATACATAATGTGCTGAAGTTGCCATTGTGCGAAGTAGAGTCCATGGTTTGTCTGGGAGCCGAGCTATGCTGAGTCTACTGTTGCTTCCTGTTGCTTGTCCTGTATTAGCATTATTTTTGGATAGGCCCCATTATGTTCTGTAATCCTCACTGCAGTCAGTATGGCCACACCATTGTTCTTGGTTAATATTAGCAGTCAATGCCTCCGTCTGGGTGGCTGGACTACAATGTATTCTAATCACAAAACTAGCATGCAT